AGGTGTCAAAATTTATTTAACTGTCTGAATGTGACTTATAAAAAGTACTATTTATATATGTATGGCTAAGAGTGTGTTTGATTAATATTATTAAGGAAAGAATGTATTTTAAATAGTGATATGATATAAATATGTAGTTAACAAGTAAAAAAAATTATTGATGTGATGGAAAATATTATTTTATTGTAAAATGTGTAATTGTAAACGAGTTATGAAATAATGTATTTTAAAAGAATGAGTGTCAAACAAGGGCTCATTATGATCACGTTGTTTGATCTACTCGCCCCGTAGTTGAATCTTGACAAGCTTTACTTATTAGGGCACATGATTGATCCGAGCTCAGCCATAAACAAATTTGTGCTTGGTGGCTCAACCAAGCCATTTATTAAAAATAAAATAAAGGAGTTTAAAGATTAAGGGTTAAAATGTTAATTGCATTAGATCCCTAGAAAGACCAAGCGCCTCTATGCATACTCTGGGGGTTTCCCATGACTAAAAATTATATATTTTTCAAAAATATTAAAATTTGTTAGCCCTACTAAGGATTGGACAGTGTCCCGCCTAGTTAATTTTAGGTTGCTGAGGGGGTCAAAGATTGTCCAGCTTAAGTCTATCCAAAATCGAGCTATATCAAGCAATCTACACCTCTATGTATTAACCACGTCCCAATCTTCTGTTGGTATTGGTGTAGATTTAAAGAGAATAGAGAATCAGCTTTAACTCTACTAAAAAAAATAGTTACTGTTAAATTTGTTTTAAAACTTTAAATCTCAAGTACTTGAAAACCAAAATGCTTTATTGCCAAGAGAATTATTAAATGTGAAACATACCTTGATCATAGGGAATGATTCTTTATTGCTGGATCTTGATTCCGAATTTTGAATCTTGAATATTGACTCTTTTAATTCTTGAGTTCTAGTTCTTGACTTTGACTTCTTACTCCACTATCTTGATTGTCTCAATTCTTTCTTCTTGATTGTTGATTTCCTGTTATTGATTGTGGCTTTTGGATCTTCATCTTTAATATGTTTTTTCTTGTATTTTTGTATTGATGAGATATCACAAAGAATGAAAATCACATATGAATTGAGAACCATAATCATATTTATATTTTCATATGTATTCAGTTCATCGTCAAATACAACCATAATTGATCCGATCTCTACACATATTTAGCACATACTTTATTTAGATGCCCAAAATTCAATAACTTAAATTCTTCAATAGATCAGTTTAAAAGGGCTTAACCTTAATATATTCTTCAATACACATTTAATTACATATGTAAGTCCACATGGAAAATTAAAACCCAACAATCTCCCATTTGGATCATATATGTTACCTTATAAATGTGCATAACATTATGATGTCAATTTACTATCATAACTAAAAATATCTTCAAACAATTTCGTCCATTAATTATGTCAATATAGGATCAAAGTGGTCTTTGTTATAAGTATCATAACTAAACCATCAATAGTCACGTATATCAATACAATCAAATGACATAGATCAAGTATAGATGTGTAGTATGAAAATTACATGTAACGTGATCCAAACATGTCCATTTCTAATTGGTCCTACCTTATTTTTTAATACTTTACACTTTAATGAGATCAAACCAAAAACTTTAATTAGAATGAAACTGAATTGAATATTTTATTTTTGAAATAAACAGAATGTTTATAAGCATAAAATGTGTAATCAGAAAACAACCAAATATAAACTCCCACTAAACTGTTATATCATCAAAAGATGTAACATCCATATAAGTAGTGCGCTCACAAAAGACTTTGGGTAATAGTTATTTAGTAAACGGATCCGCAATCATGGAATTGTCCAAATATGTTCCATAGAAACCCGACCACTCTGAATTTTTTCCTTAACAATTAGGAACTTAATCTCAATAAATTTTGACATTATCAAGCTCATGTTGGAATACAAGATTGCTATTGTCACAAAGTAACTTAAGTGGTGTTTTAATTCCATTCAGAATGTGCACCCTAGTGATAAAATTCGGCAGCCATATTCCATAATTAAAATCAGAATATCCAATGATTTCTAATTGATCTGATTTTCTGTATGTGATTATGTAATCCTTAGTTCTCTATAGATATCGAATAACCCGCTCAGCTGCTTTTCAAACATCCATCCCAGAGTAATTTAAATGTTTGTCCAGCATTTCAACAATGAAGGCTATATCCAGATGTGTACAAATCTAAACGTACATTAAACTTCCAATTAATGAAAGACGATGAATTTTATGTATTTCCTTTTTCTTTAAGTTTATTCTTAGAGTATTAATTGAGATTAAAGTTGTCTCTCTTAATAATAGGGGTATCGCCTGATTTACTTTCCTGCATTTAAAATCTCTTAAGAACCTTATCGATGTATCTCTTTTGTGATAATACAAAAATACCTAAAGAACGATCCCGATGTACCTATATTCCTAACACAAAAGAGGCATCACAAAAATCTTTTATTTCAAAATTTCATGAAATAAATCTCTTATTTTTGTATAATAAGCATATATCATTGCAGGCAAACAGTATGTCTTCAACACACAATACTAGAAAAATATGCTTACTTTTACTGAACTTGTGATACTCACAACCACAATTGAATTTCTCTCAAAATCAAACGAGATTGTTATTTGATGAAATTTGTGCTACCATTGACAAGATGCTTGCTTAAACCCATACATGA